TCAGTGTCTCATAGGTGTGTTTATGGTGGTGTGAGGTGGTAAATGATGTTCCTTATTGTTACATTTTTGTGTGTATTATGATGACGGCTCTGATGGGCATTCCAAAGAAGAGTTCCAAAATTGCTTTAAAGAGTGGACTAGGCATTGGCATCAGCACATAACTTCCCCCAGGGTATACGTCAAAGATGACGTAGTGACATTCAGCAATTCACAAACTTAATTGTCCAAACATATATATATATAATTACATATATATTATATATATACATACATATTTAACTTCAAAATTGCTTTTAACCTTACAACAGTGAAGTCATCACACACTTTCTATGTGTGTACTATGCAGCATCAGTTAGAAAGCTGCTGGTTTGCCCATTTGATGAGCATCAATTAAAGTTACTTTTGTGTAACTCTTCTTTCCCGGTTAGTCCACAGTATAACTTTTGTACAGTTATCTAATCTTCATTTTATTCAAGTTATAATCTCCTTTTTACTGGACATTGTATTGTTTCTTATTTTTTCAGCATTAAAACAATGTTGTAGATACACCTTTAGGCCAAGTGTCTTCTCTGATATGAATGATGACATGTCCTTATGTTAAGTTCACTAGTGTAGAATTCCTAACTACCGTAAAGGCATGAATATCTTTACGGTCCTTGATATGGGGTTGGCATGATGCTTTCCAAAAGTCTTATTCCAATTTTTGGAATGCAAACAAAATGACTGGTACATATTCTTGACCTTAAGAAAGTGGTAAATTAAATCACGGATGCAGCATTTGCAGACAGCTCATTTTGCATTCACTCAGTTGGACATTCAGGTCATGGTTTTAAGTGTGTCTTTTCCTTTTAAATCAACTCCTGCTCTTAGATCTTTGAGGTACATAATATCAACTTCCAACATGTCAAAGAATTAAAATGTTATGATAGAATATCACCGTGTGCCATTTTCAGCTTATGATATTTGTCAATGTCATTTAACCTTGTAAAAGAAAAATTTATAAAAAAAAAAAAGACAATTGCAAGCAAAATAATATTTTATTGAAAATTCATGAAAGTCACAATACTTTAAGACACATTTTTTCATATTCTGTTATAAAGAAAAATAAGAATCGACTCTAGTGCAATGATATTTAGTTTTCATTCAAACTAACAAAATTATTTTGAAAAACAGAAAAATCTACATCCTAATTTTTTTCAAGGTATAAATATGTATTTTCCTATTTGTTATCAAGAAAACCCTAATGGAATATTTTTTAAAGTAACCTTGTTAACACAACATTTTTTGAGGTCCAGTTTAAATAGTAAATGAGTATTAGTGCCTGGTTCATGTGGATTACATTGTGCTTGTGTCTGTGTCTGCACATGTGCATATAGGAATTAGATCATTTTAATATGAAACTTTAAGAATTAGAGTGTTTTATGATTTCAATTTCTCTTATTGTAAGGCAATCAGTAGCATTTCCAGCCATTTCTTAAACATGTTTTCTTATCTGCTATTTAAAAACCAACCAGTTTCAGAATGGTGTTTAGCCCAGTAAGTACCAATGGTATAAGTAAGATTAACTACAATACTGCCAATTCAATTTTAGCCAGTGATATAATGTTAGGAAGTATCCTGCTATATGTTTTAGATAAAAGTTTCTCAAATTTTCTTATAATGAGACTAGACAGCCAAAAAAATCAAATAGAGTCACCTTTTTACATTGTCAATGGTTTATATTTTTACCAGATTATTTTATTCTCAACAGATAATATTGAGCCTTTGGTGTTATTTAAATAATTTCACTCATTTCCATTAACTCTATGATGTATCAACACTTAATTTGGGTATATTCTGTCAACAAATAAGCATTACTCAGATGATATACTGAAATCTGTGGTGAAGAGACATCACAGGTAAGCTATAGTATCACCTGTGCTTTCCTGCAGCTACAAATGGCACTAATATATAACTTTAATTAATATTTCAAATAAAATTTTATAGTACTCTGCAGTTAAAGAGTTTTATGTAGCTATACATATTATGAAACTACTAAGATTAGACACTGTTAGGAAATTCACAAGCACATTGTCATAAAACAATAACATTATCTAAGTGCATCATCTAGATTAGAGGCAGAAATGGTTTTAATAAAGGAGAGTCCAGTGAAGCTACAATTAAAACATAATTTGGCATTTGATGTGTAATACCCTACTAGTTTTCATTTGGCAACAGCATCTAAACTGGTCACAAAAAAAGCCCTACTTTGTGTTTCTTTAATAGGGAAGAAATCTAGCCCTGTGGAAAAGACGATCTTCTGACTAAAAAAAAAAAAAAGTCTGAGAACCAGAGTTTTGACCAGTTAAGTCAGATAGTGCTGAAACTCTTGGGAGAAGGAAAACAATAATTAAGAACATAACTCATCAGAGGTAAATAAAGCGTTCTTCTTCCCACCCCAGTAGTAGAAAGGCTTTCAGGAAACTATCTTTCAGAGAAGAGTTCTTCACTGTGGTGGCAAATAAGATGCTGAAATCATTTTAGCCATAATGTGATGATCCGAAAGAGATTAGATACAAAACTGGACAGGTGAATCACTCTCATTTCTCCCAGAGGTGCCCCAAATAAAAGCAGTAGCTGATAAATCAAAATATCTTCTCCAAAAATGTTTAGAAAATTCTATGATACATTAAAACTAAATTTTCAGAGAAAAAAATATTACCCACTAATTAATTTGCAAATAAAATATATCATCAAATATTCTTAAATAAAAGTACATTTACACTTTTCATCTAAAACAGTGTTTCTTGTTAAGAATTGAAATTACTTTCTCCATTTTTAGTTTCTGTTTCTTCATTTCAACTTCTCGTATTCAAAGTACTGGCAGTTTTGTGAATTTGGTCCTGAATGTGGGTTTGGTATTCTTATTATAAGAAAGACTCGTTGATAATATGCTCAATATGTGCTTCTGCTGAATTTTAAAAATTATTTATTGCTACGACCAACTATTTAAATTTCATTGCATTTGATGAATTCTATATGGAAAATAAAAAATAAAAGTATAAAAACACAATCACACAGAGACAAGAAATACTATCTTCTGAAGACAGCTGATGAAATCCTCATTCTGTTTTCTCCTAAGTAATGATTTTAACTCATTTTATACAAAGTTATACATTTTTTAAATATCTAATTTATTCTTAGATTCAAGATTATATAACATTAGTTTCAGTGAAGAGTACTTTTCCTACAACTTCCTCTACATCCTCTTAGTATGACTGAAGCCCAGCGTAAGGGACTGATAGAAAAGTATCACAAACATTATTGGTGATACTTAATGCAAATGTTTAAAAAAGTTTTGATTCTTATGAATTTATATCAAAATAAAGCTTCTGATATATCTTTAGGATTGTACTTGATGACCAGTTAACAATGTAAGCAAAAAATACTTGAACTAAGTTAACATTTACATATAAAAGTAGAGAATATATACACTACAGTGATTTTGATGACATCTTGTATTACAAATAAGAGGAGCACTGGCCTGATTAAAAAGTGTTTAAAAGTATGAATTAAAGAAAACCAGAAGATAATTATATTCTTAATGTTTTAAACTTGATAATTTTCATCTTCCCTGTTAGATTGAGATTCTTTTATTTTGGTTAATAACTAGGCTTGAAAAATAAGGAATAATAGAAGGTATTTCTCTGGAAGAAGGCAGGAGTGTCTCAATATTTAGCAGACACTTTACTACTATCTCAACTTTACTAAGATGAATGCTTTTATAGTTCTTTATCCCACCAATTCAGATCAATAAAAGGCTATAATAAGGAAAGCCATCGGCCTAGAAAGAATCCATAAATCCTATGTTTTGTAAGGTATTTATTTTATGCCATTAAAGAATATGGTACCTACAAAATTCAGGAAAGGTAAGAAACAACAAAAAGAGCTCAAACCACAAATATTGTAGCTAGGCCCCTTCTACCAACCAGCAGTTATGCCAGCAAGTCGTCTCCAGTTGGTTTAAACAGAATATTGCTTCTTCCCCTTGCTGACGTCTGCAATTTACATGGCCGTAAGGTAGGCTTCCCTGAGTTTCTGCTCAGATCACATATCCTATTCAAAGATCTTGTACCCACTTTCAAAGTATTAAAATACAATTAAAGAGACAAAACATCAATATTAAACTGAACATAATTTATTCTTTTTCTTGGACATTATGTGAGAAATAAAAAATCCTGGTGTGCGAGTCAGAAGATCAGGTTCTCTTCAACTTAAGGTTGAATGGTCTTGACCAAGTTACTTAACCTTTCTGGCCCTCTAGTTCTTCCAGAAAAAAAACAAGGGAGTTGTATTGGATAATTGTTAAAGTCCCGTTTCAAGTTTTACTGACATACTAAGTCAGAATCTGGCACAGTGCCTCCTGATTATTATTATGAAGATCAACTACCATTATAGTATCATGTAAAAGGAATTCTCGTTTTTGAAATTTTCTGAAGCCTGCATTATAGTTAATGGGAATTTTCTATACTTCCAGGGGCTAATCATTAGGATTTGGCTAATAAAAACATAATTGAGTTTTTGTATATTATACAAAAGTGTACTTTGGCATGCACTGGGGTGGTCTGGGAAAGACTTCAGTTACATATGAACTTATTTAATTCTCTTATTGTTGAAATCCTGTTCTCAACCGAGTAGCAAAAGAGTAAGCATGGGGATAAAAGAGAAATCTTGCTTAAAGCATGTCTTCTTAAGATAAATAATATTATAAGTATTTTTATTCTTTTTTACATTTTAGTTTTGATTCTTTTAAATTTGTAAAACTTAATTTTCTGAAATTATTGCTAACTCTTAAAACCAAGGATCTGTTATAGTTTACCACTACTGGTAAAGAATTGCAATTACTGCCAAAATATTAATATTGTGGCAAAAGAAAATAGAGTTTGGTTCTATTTTTAAGCATTTGACAATGCATTTTACTAGTTCTTACTTTAAGCATTTTCAGAATTGAGACAAAAGTAGAAGACTATAATTATGCTTCTATTTCAAACCAGATGTTAAGCATGTTGAACTCAAATTTAGAGAGGGACTTTGTGGAGTACCAGCTGTGACTCTGGGAGATGGATAAAGAATTTCTTCAACAGTTATATATGTACCTAATAAGAAACCAACAACTCCAGTGAATGCTATAGAAATATTTTTCAAGACCATCCATATATTGTAATGTTCCTTAGAAAATGTAAGAATTTCAACCAAAGGTGGCAAAATCAGGGCCAAAGTGCTGCTGCTCACAGCTCCAACAAAGGAAATCACGATGTCTAAACGAGGAATAAGAATCGCTCCAGCACCTAGAAAATGAAAAGATATTTTTCTTATTTAAAATGAATACAATAAGGACTCCTAAACACTTACATGAATACTATAAGGACTCCTAAATTATTGCTTGTGGAAAGAAATCTGCCATGCTTTGTTCTGAGCTAAGAAGAGAAAAAAAAGAAACCAAAACAGTTGAGTGAATTTCCTGGACTTACAGTTGTCAATGAAGTTTCATATGTAAATGACTTCCATTTTTTTGCTGAAATTCTGGGCAAAGTAATATAGGTAATTTATCTGCAAAGCATTACTCTGCCTATCACACCACACAGCTCAATAATGCACAAAATAACAGAGTAGTGTGCTATGATTAAGTGGGAGAGAAAGGATACAGGTATTCCTTGGAGTTGAATTCCAATTGATCCAAATAGAAGGATCAATGGAGAGAAAATCATTATTAGGCAAACACCACAAAATCACTGGGCAGGCAGAGTCAATGAAGGATGGCAAATTAATTGGCAAAAACTGGATGAGATCAGGACATTTGCATAACCCCAAAGTATCTGCCCACAAGATACTTATTAATTATAAAAGAGAAAACAGTAGCTTCACAGTGGAGAAATATGTCAGAGACCACCTTAGCCAACTGAGTAAAGGTAACATCACCAACAGACACTGAAACCACTGATATCACAGCACCACTCCTATAGGATTGTTAAAAATGCTTAACTTCAATCTAATCATGAGAAACCATAAGAAAAACTCAAATTAAAAGAAATACTATAAAATTACTGACACTTCAAAAGTGTCAAGTTCAAGAAAGACAAAGGAAGATAAGGACTCCCAAGACTGGAAGAGAATAGTAGTGGACATGACAGCTAAACCCAAGTGTGGCTCTCAGTCTTTTCTAGGAAGATGTGGGATCAATTTGGAACTGAATTCTCACTATGTTTCTCATGGACCCAGAAGTTACTACTCACCATGTTCTATTCAAATTATTATGAAAGCAAAAGCCCTGACAACTGTTCTGAAATTACAAACCTGGCCACACACCTACAGGACTGAAGTGCTACAACCCTTAAATAAAGTAACTCTGAGGAAGTAGCACCTGTACGGTAGAAGTGCTTTATAAAGTAGACGCTCCATTTAGTAAGTGCTGGTCATATCCTTTTAGCACTGCTCTCTAGGGAACTACAGCATATTCACCCAACAGAACTATTCTGCAGAGACGTGCCTTAGCAACTTTTAAAGCAGTCTACAAGTAAGGCCAGACAAACATGACAAAAACCCTGCCACGTGAAGAGACTTTCAATTTGGAATCTATTTTTCCTCATTTAATGCTTTCTAATAATCCAAGGTGTCCCTAGTAAATAAAAAAAAAAAAAAATGCTGTCAGAAAGCCATGTGGAGACCACCACAGCACTCAGGATAGACTATACTTTCATCTATCAAATACTTTAAATCACGAACTATCATTTCAATTAGATAAAGCCATACTTTAACATTATATAATCAATCGACTTTGCTAGTAAAAATGGCTTGAAATATGTTATTTGCTAATATTAGTAGACAAAGATGGCAAGTCTACATACCTCAGCCAAACCTAACACATAAAAACTCAGATAGGTAAAAATAATAAATAAAAGAATAATTTAAGATAAAGATAGTTTTATTCATTACAAATATTAACTATAGAATTATTATAAATAAGTTGCCCTAAAACAGCTACCTACAAACAGCTATTATGTACTTTTAAGTACTAATTACGCCTATTCAGTATTTCTCAAAGAGTATTTTAGGGAAAAAAAACTTATTTTAAGACATAAAATTCCGGCTCAGCGCCTGTGGCTCAAGCGGCTAAGGCGCCAGCCACATACACCTAAGGTGGTGGGTTCGAATCCCCAGCCCGGGCCCACCAAACAACAATGATGGCTGCAACCAAAAAATGGCCAGGCGTTGTGGCGGGCGCCTGTGGTCCCAGCTACTACTTGGGAGGCTGAGACAGGAGACTCGCTTGAGCCCAGGAGTTGGAGGTTGCTGTGAGCGTGATGCCATGGCACTCTACCCAGGGGGATAGCTTGAGGCTCCGTCTCAAAAAAAAAAAAAAAGACATAAAATTCCCTACCTAGTATTAAAATAAAAGCCTATTTTAAGTTTACTATTTGCACATGAAGGGTAAAAGCAGATATATCGGAGTACAAAACAAAACACAGATAATGCAACATCAAAAACAAAAGAGTGGAAAATAACCTATCACATTCATTTTAACTACACAAATAGTTAATGGCACTGTCCACATACCCACTGACTCTAACACATAATAGGACAGAGAATGGCATTTTTTTCATCTGCAGAGGCAGCTAACTTAAACATTTTAGTGCGTTTTCTCTAACATTCTACAAAATACTAAGTATTTATGAGCTGTGGTACCAGTAGTCATAGACTATTAAAAACAGAAAGAATACTCTACAAGTCAAGGGCTTTCAAAATTAAAAACAGTGTAAGGATCAACAAGTTTAATAATAATAGCAATAAATATTTAATATATTTTTACAGATTTAATCCATACATGGAAACAAAACACTGGACTCCTTGTTCATTGTATTTCAAAATTTGACAGCTCATAGTACAGATTTGCTATAAAATAAAAGATACTTATGTCTACGGTGGGTTTGGCTATATATCACGTCAGTGCTTACAAGGAACACATACAAAGAGACTGACTCATTTTCTAAAGCATTTGAGTTCTACTAAAAAGATATTTTGAAATGATGACTCAAATGAATATTCAGATATAACCAACATAATCCAAGCTGATAAGCCCACGACTTTAAAGACCAATACAACAAACTTGTATTCAGTACTTGGAAAGGATTAATTCTGATTCATTGAAGACTCAATAATTTTCATTTCAAATCCAGCTGAGCCTATACCTATATTGCTAGCACTGCACAGCCTGCTCTACAAACATTACAAGGTCCTGTCCACACATCTACCAGCAAAGAGCATGCCCAAAAATCTTTTCAAGTGCTTCGTAGAACAGAATAAAAAACAGTCCTGCCATGAACACCAGTTGACTTTTAGGAGGGATATGTGTCAAAGACTCAAATGAAGTTAGTGTCCAATGATGTGTCCCAAGGAAGGAGAAGGGAATATTGTGTGACTATTGTTTTCTTTGTCCAAAGCATAGTGCTGTAACCATAACCCTCATATAGGGTTGAGTAGCCTTAACCACTTTTAATGAAAAGAAAACAGCCACAAGGAAAGGCTGCAGTTTTCTATGATATGGCCTCAGCTCTTGAGGAAAAGTCCCTGGCATCCAGGAACAAATACATGGCAGAATATGTGTGGTGTGGTCTGTGCCTCAGCAGATACATCACTCCCATATAACAATGCCAGCCAGTGTGCAGAAATGGATGAAATTATATAAAATCCTGGACCCCTTTTAAAATTACCCTCAAGCTCCTTTAACTGAATTTTAGTTACTGATTTTGAAAGGTTATGTACTTCAGAATAGAACTATCTTATATCTATTGATAAAAGGACTTTTATAAAAATTAGTCTTTTTATTTAGCCCAGCTATCAAAATGTCAATAAAAGCAATGTATAAAAAATATTTCAAAATGTTTTAAAATAACTTTTTCCTACTGCATATTTCATTAGTCATCAAGAATATTAGCTTAAGGAGGTTTTCAAAATAGCTGGCCAGAGACATCAGTTACCAGATCATCTCAGAAAGAAGGAAAAAGTATAGATGAAAAGGAAAAACAAACAAACAAACACAGAATGGTGTAATTCTCAAGAGAAAGTGCCAGAACCCAGCAGAGATCCCACAGGAAGAAGCTGCAGAGCACAGCAAGGAGGAAAATATTGGCCAAGATCAACCAAGAGGATTGGAGTCCAGCAAAAAGGGTAGGTGGATGGTTTGTTTCTTCCTCTGTCACATCTCTGGCAATCAGCAGGCTCCCAAGCTGCTGGAGAGCCTTCTACCCTCACCAGCCCAAAAGCTGCTGCCACCAGTGAACTGGGAGCTTCCTAGGGACATACCACCAGGCTGCCAGCACCCCTAGGATCACCTTGCGTAACCTGAGCAAGATAGCAGCAACCACACCACTTCTCCACACACTGTTTGCCACTGTCCTTCCCAAAGAGCTTCAGATCTTTTGTTTTCGTCTTGTTCATTCACATAAACATTTCCCAACTCTGACCCAGACTATGGGAGCCATAGGGGCTAGACGGTCTCAGGGGATCTCTGTGACCCCAGAGCTTGGAGATTCCTGGTGGGCTGCCTTTGGAGAGATGGACAGAGAAGTGTTAGATTTCCTCCATTAAGACTTTTTTCTCACCCTTCCCCTCCCCTGCCTGTTGGTTGCAAAGAGAGACGATTGAGCCAGGGCTCTCAAAAGTGGCTACGTCCCCCTTCCTGGTGCTCCCATCATACCAGGGCTTTCACAGAGAGTGGGGCTCAAACCTTTCCTCTGAAAGACCTGCAGTGGACTAAGGGGTGCTCCGACTCTGAGCTCCTAGTTCTCAGGCCCTCCCAGGTGCTGCTCACATGGCTTCTCCATCAAAGCAGAGCACACCTGCTGTGGAGGGACATCAAATCAGCTTGAACAGACCTTAGACAACTCGGGACCAGAATGCTCTTACCCGGCACAGTCAGGGACTGACTCTCAGAGACCCAGGGACAGACACATAGGCCAGATCCTATGCCCCTAGAACTCAGTCGCATTGCTCAGGAGCATGGAGGGGATATTTGTGAACGAATCTTGGAAGGCAAGTGTGCCCATATGGGCAAAACTGAAAAGAGTTTCACATAGGTCCCAGCCACAGCGCACTTACAGAGAACCCTCCCCCCATAGGAAAGCTGCTCTCTCAGCCCACGGCGGGATCCTGGACAGGTCAATTCCCAGCCCACAGTGCCTTTGCTAGAGAGTTCAGCTAGTTTGAGCTCCTGCCTACCAGCATGTGCCACAAAAAGACCACAGGACAACGGATGGTGGAGAAGAGCAAACCCGCTCCTGATAGCCAGCTT